TGCTTCACCTCATGCGCACATGCACCCCAGGTGTGCAGGGGGGGCTCTGGGGCGCTGGCGGGCTTGACCTCAAGGGCACAGACCAGGGCCGGGGACTGGGTCTGAGAGCTCAGCCCTGCTGTGAAGGCCTGAGGCTGGGCTTCCATCTGTGGGCCCACTGGGGCCCGGGGAGACCTCCCCGCTGGGGCTGGCCAGCTTGCTTCCCTGCCTGATCCTGGAGGACACAGCCCCGGTCCCCTCGCTCCACTTGATTTATTTAGACAACGGAGGGGGCACCCTGGGAAATGGATCAGATTTCAGATTTGACAAAAATAAAACAAACTAGGCCGCCCCAGCCGAACCCAGCACTCCCACCCCATCCCCTTCCGGAGCCCCCCAATTACAGAGGCTGCGACTGTCAGCTGGGCCTGCAGGACAGAGGGTGGTGGTCGCTATGGTAACCATGCAGGCCTCTGGCTCTGGCTCCCGGTGAGCAGATGCCCCAGGGCCTGCAGGGGCATCCAGCCCTCCCCTGTCTATCCTCCTGCCTCTTCTTGCTTGTCTGGGGAGGACCCCTGGTACCCGTCTCCCCAGTCCCCACCCAGCAGCCAGGGTGTGAGGCAGAGTTTGGGTTCCAGTCTAGGGTGCTCTTACTGGCTGGAGCCTCGAGACAGGCCCCCCTCGGCCCCGTCACCTCCTGCCCCTCACACCCTCTCCTCCCCCCGTGGCGGGAGAGTGCTCCTGACCCCCGAGACACAGCTGCACGCCCCAACCCCGCCTGGTCTCGTCAGGAGGCAGGTGGGGAGCAGGGACGGCAGATAGGCCACTGGCCGACGAGGCCCGGGCCGGGCAGCAGAGCACACGTGTGGCTGAGACGTGGCATCTGGTGCTGCGGGAGGTGGGTTCAAATCCTGCGCGCACCAGCACGTGGCTGGACAGCTGGGGCTGAGCCCGGAGCCAAGTCTCGGCGCCCCAGCGTCAGGATCTGTGGGGTGTGGGGAACGACAGTACCTGCCGGTTTCGGGGAGCTGTGCCGATGCTCCGGGACGGCTCTCCGCGTCGCCGGGCCTGAACTGGCTGATTCTGCGTGGCAGGCTGTGAGGCGTCGGCGGCCTGTGGGCTCCTGGACACCGCTTGTTTTCCACTGGCGGTGTAAAGCTAGTGACCAGCAGACGCAGCAGCGTGGACGCTCGGTCCTCAGTGGCGATGTGGCTTTTTTCTCCCAAAGCCAAAGAATGGGGTCCCTGGCCCTGTTCTGGGAGGGGGTGAAAAAGAAAGGGTTTTTCTGCACGCCCCGGCCCACATGTGGGCCAGCGTGAGGAGCCCGCGCTTTTGGGGGTGCGTGGGGTTCGGTGTGGGTCTGGGAGCCGCGGTGCCGCCAGGGCCTGTGGGTGGGAGTCGCCTGTCTGAAGCTTGCTCCTGCCGGCCGCTGTGTCCCTGGCTTGGCTTAGTTGCTCTCTGGGGGGCCAGTGGCGCTGCAGGTGACCACGGTTACCCTGACAGGAGCGAGGGTCCGGGTGCTGAAATCCGCAGGTGGCTGGGCCCAAGCACACAGGTCCAGAGGGTGGGCGGGGGGCCCCCGACTTGCCCAAGACCCTCCATCTTCATGCAGCCGGCACGATGCCCCTGCCTGCCCCGACCCCAGTTCTCATCCCGACCCCAGTTCTCCCTCCTGGGCCTCCGCCCCCCTCAGACTGTCTGGGACCAGCATGACTGTGTCAGAGGCCCTCGGTGCTTGTTGAGCCTGCGGGCACAAAGTTCTGCTCTGGGCCAGCTCACTCGGCTGCTCGGCACTCCCCTCCCCCCTTCCTCACACCCCAGCAGTCTCCCTCCCTCTTCGCAGTCTGCTTCAAGTTCAAGGGGGGCTGGTGTCTTAGATCCCTGAGCCGGTGGGGAGCATGTCAGGGACTGTGGGCCGCTGTGCCAGTGCTGGCCTGGCTTCGCAGCCTCCTGGGCTCTTGGAAAGGGCCCAGCTTCGCCATCTGGGATTTCCTCGGGCAGGGCCGAGACTGTCCATCTCTGCGTGTCTGAAGCTGTGTGAGCTGCAGGTGAAAGCCATTTTGTCTGCCCCCTGGGGGAGCCGGGCACTGGGGAGCTGGCAGCACCCCACGAGCTCCCGCTGCCTCGGATGGTGTGACCTTGGGCACTGATTCCGCACCTCCCCGGGGGGCTGTGACGAGAGCTGGGTCAGGTCCCCTGGGGCCCGGCCCACGGTAGTCGTGGCTACTGCCAGGTTCATTACTGGGACAGGAGCTCGCTGTGTCGGGTCGGGAGCATGGCAGAGAGGAGGCTGAGCCACCCCTTGGGGGCGGGGAAGCACTTCCGGGAGTCTTGCAGAGAGGTGACAAATGGCTGGGCTCTGAAGGATGAGTAGGAGTTCGGTAGAGATGGCTGGCACCAGCCTGGGCAGTACGAGGCTCCAGGCATCTCGCTGGCGGGAGGGAAGGCTGCAAGAGGCCACCGTGGACAGAGTCGAGGCGGCCTCGGACGTCACAGCGAGGAGGGCAGTGGGGAGCCATGGGAGTGTCTGAACACGGGAGCGACATGAGCGGACTTGGGCTTCAGGCAGATGAAGCTGGGGACACAAAAGCAGACTGGCCTCGGCTCCCTGTGCAGCCTTTTCCCAGCTGGTGACCTTGGGCCCCTTGCTCCCCTATATGCCTCCTGTCCTCAGTTGCAAATGGGGCTCATAATAGCCCTGGGCAGATTAAGTGGGATAACTCCTGCAAAGTGCTCAGAGTGTGGGGCAGCAGCTTGTGCCTGGCTATGGTGCAGGGCAGAGGATGGACGGGAGGCCCGAGGGAGGCCGGCAGGGCTGCGCTGAGGCCTCGGAGGGGGGGGCAGGTCACAGGCAGGGACAGGCCCTGCCACACGCAGCAGAGAAGGACACTGGCCTCGGAGTTCCGGGGCTTGGTGGGAACTTCAGTGCTTCCGGCCGCGTGCCTCAGGAGCATCAGCTTTCCTCATCTGCAGAATGGGCCTGCTGACTTCAGGGCCCCGCGAGGAAGGTGCCCAGCTCCTGGGAGTCACCTGGTAAGTGCACTCTGAACTTGAAACTGGAGGAAGGCAGAGGGAGCAGAGGAGGCCGCTAGGAGGGGCCTGGACGGCACTGCACGGCACGGCAGGCCAGGAAGGCGCGGGGTGAGGGGTGTGCCCTGCTAATTAGAACGTTTGAACTTCAGAAAAGTTAATTAATGATGAAGCTGCTGCAGGCCGGAAGGGGCCTTGGCAGTGACTGAAGCTAATCACAGGCCGTGGCGGGAGAGTGCAGTGGGGCGGGCGGGCCAGGAGCGGGCCCGGAGGAGGGCCGGAGGGGGCGGGAGGGAAGATGGCATTGCAAGGTGAGCAAAGGCCTGAGGACGAGGGTGGCTGTTGCCAGGGAAACCAGGTCAGCCTCCCTTGGCAGGAGGTGCTGGCAGCACGCCCAGGGGTGGGCTCTGGCTGAGCCTCTGACGGGTGTGGCTGCAGGTGAGCTTAGTCGGGGCAGGGGCTTCATCTGGAGACACTCGGACCCACTGGCCATCAGAGTGAGTGGGCCCAGAGAGGCGTAGTTATTGAGTCCTACTTGATGCTGTCACTGCCAGAGCTGAGAATGCAAACCCCGGCCCCTGGACAGTAGGTTCTACTGGACAAAGACAAACAGCCTGTCAACAAGACTGCTTCAGGGCTCACGTGCCGTGCCGGAGAGCAAAGGTGTGGTCCATGTGGCTGGAAATGTGATGGTGGAGTGGGAGCGGGTGGCCCTGGGGTGGAGAGTTTGGTGGGAACTTTCAGAGGAGATGACAAGGAAGCATGAGGGACTCGGGCGGTCTCCCAGGCAGCTGGGGCAGCATGTGCAAAGGCCCTGAGGTAGATGTGCCTGGTGCCTGGTGTGTCTGAGAGCTGGAGGGGGTGACAAGGGAAAGGGGCTGGAGGGGGTGGCTGGAGCGGCTGAGCCAGGGTGAGGGTAGAAGGGCTTGAGGTGGGGAGAGGGGGCAGGCAGGACCTTGTAGACAGTGATGAGGGGCTGAGAGAGACAGGGAGTCGCTGAATGGGAGAGGGAGGTGATGTTTCCTTTGCTGCTGCAAGGAGAGCGACCCTGGACCAGGCAGATTGGGGGGCAGTGAGGAGGCACCACCAGAGGTTCAGCGATGGGAAGGGGCTTGCCTGAGCCCCAGAGCTGGTTAGTCTGAACTGCGTGGCATGCAGGGTTTCTGGTCCCGTCCTGTTATGTTGCTTTTGTGGCACAAGAGCTGGTGGCCACCTGTCTCTGTGAGCCTGTTTTGGGGGGGGGGCGGTAGGAGTAGGGGTGGCATGGCAGCAGCCCTCCTTTGAGAGGAGGCTCCCTCGCTTGGGTTGCGGCAGTGGGCCTGTGAGTGAGCCCCGCCTGGGTGTCCCTGAGCACTAACTCTCAGGGGCCTGGGCGTGGGGGCACGGGGTGCCTGCGGCTGTGTTCTAGGCCTGGTGGTCTGGCCGGAGGGAGGAGGGGGCTACTTTCTGCCTAAGGACACTGAGCACCCCCTCATTGGTGCAGAAGCTTGGGGGAACCAGGCACAGACATTCCAGCATGTGGCCCTGAGTTCTCCAATCATGGAGAGAAGGACGGGGTGTCCAGCTAATCTCATCCACACCGGAGGGCCCTTGGGGCTCCCCAAGCAGGCCTGAGGTGGAGATGGGGAGCGTGCATAGGGGAGGGGAGGGGTCGTCAGTGAAGGGAGGCAGTGGCAATTGGGGAAGGGTGGGGTGTTGGGGGATGAGCCAGAGACTTCTGGGACCTCTCCTTTCCTGGCCCCGGGGAAACGCCCAAGCTGGGCTAGGACGTGGAGTTGGGGTTTTCTGCTGAGGTTGGCAGGCTGGGCCAGGTCTGTGGTGATGGGGATAAGCAGGCGCCGTGGTCTTTGGTGGTGGATCCATTCAGGGAAGGCACCTGCAGCGGGAAGCAGCAGGATAGTGGTGTTCCCGGGGTTTGGTGGGGGGTTGTTACGTTTCTGGGGGTGCTTCTGCCAGGGTCCGCCTGCGGTTTTGCCCTTGACTCTGAGCACATGGTTTGAATGTGTCAGCATGCTGGTGATCCTGCTGAACTGCGTGACGCTTGGCATGTATCAGCCCTGCGACGACATGGACTGCCTGTCCGACCGCTGCAAAATCCTGCAGGTGAGACCCCGCCCACCCGCGCGGCCCCGCCCACTTGCTGCAGGCCACGCCCGTCCACGTAAAGCCACGCCCACTCTGCCCCACCTCCTGCCCAGCCACATCTCCAGGCCTCCCCACTGCCTCAACCTTTCTCACCTATTCCCCTTCCGACCATCCCCTCCCCCCAGTTTCTGGGTCCCTGCCCTAGTCGGGACCCTCATCTCCCACCGAGGCCCCGACACAGACCTCCTGGCCATTATCGGGTGCAGGTGTTGGGCCTGATTTGAGAAAGCTCCTGCCACGGGGAGATTGGTCCGGCTCTTTGCAGCTGCGCAGGCCCAGTGTCGCGTCTGGTTCTGCCCCTTACCTGCTGTGACGCCTGGGGCAAGCTCCTTCACCTCACTGAGCCTCAGTTTCTGCGTCTATAGAATGCGAGTCAAGGATCCTGCACAGTGCTTGGCAATTATTAGGGAGGCCCCCGTGCCCCACCCCCACCTGGGTCCCTCATCATTATACCTGGTTTCAGGGAACCTTCGAACGGGTTCTCTGATCGTAGAGCCGCTGTCTCCTCATCTGTGAAATGAGCGCTTGGGACCAGGGTTCATGAGGCTCTGTGTCCTGCTGAGGCGCTTCCAGGTCCTTCCCAGGCCTTCAGGTGCCTGCCACCTTGTGCCATGGCTGTGACTCCTGCTCCAGAGCCCCACAAGAGCCCCGCCTCTTGCTTCCTTCTGCCCCTGCAGGTCTTCGATGACTTCATCTTCGTCTTCTTTGCCATGGAGATGGTGCTCAAGATGGTGGCCCTGGGCATTTTTGGCAAGAAGTGCTACCTTGGGGACACGTGGAACCGCCTGGACTTCTTCATCGTCATGGCTGGGTAGGTGTGCTGTCAGACCCAGAGGTGTCCGGGCCTCTGGGGATAGTTCTTGGTGGTAGTGATGCAGCTGTGTGGGATGTCTGGAGCCCTCCTGCACCCCGGGGGTGCAGGACTGATGCCCCTTTGCTGAGTGACCTGGATAGACATCCCTTCCTCTCCCATGGGAAATCGTAGCTGCTACCAGGTCTGCTTTGCACGGACTGCATGACCTTGAAAACAGCCCCGTCACCTCTGTGAGCCCATTTCCTCATCTATAAAAGGGGAATAATAATAGTAGCTACATCAAAGGAGCTGCTATCACTGCTCTTATTATTACCCAAGCACATGCGCCCAGGCGAGAGCTGAGCACAGACTCCCAGGCTCTCTGACTCCAGGCTGGTTATTCTGCCAGGAGATCAGCTGGCAGAGGAAGCCAACTCTCCCCTGTCCCATTTGGAGACCGTGGACCCTGCTCTGTGCCTCGGTCCTGCTTTCCCGGGTCGTACCAGGCTGGCGGCCCATTCCCACGTTCCTGCAGCAAGCCGGGGTCGAATGGGAACCGATTACAATTCCCACACCATCCTAGACACGGGGCATCTAGGCCTAGGCCTGTCCTACCCGCTGCCGTCTGGGGAGAGGCCTCCGTCAGCCGCGGGTGAACGTGTCTCGTGCCAAGATGAAGACTTGGCGGAATGCAGCCCTGACCCAGGCTGGGCTGGGGCCCGAGGGCGCTCCAGGGAGGTGATAGACAGCGCCAAGGAGCCTGCGTGGGTCATGGCAGAGGCCGCAGGGCGAGAGGCAGGCAGGAGGCCTGTGAGAGTGTGTGTGGAAGAATGAGCGGTGAGCGTGCACGTGTGTGAGAATGTGTTCACATGTATGTGTGGTGCCTCTGAGAAGTGGCAGGAGGGTGGGCAGCCGCGGCAGAGATGGGCAGTCAGTACCATCAGCTGTATGTTCAGCTCCACACATCTGCTGGAACGCTGGGACTCACGCTGGGATCATCGCCTGTCTTCCCAGCCTCCTTTCCTGAGGACCGCTTCAGCGTCACAGCCTCCTGCCAGCGGTTCCTTAGACCTCACCGGGAGCTTTGCCAGGCTCGTGCGGTTTCTTGGGCACCGTGTCACCCCTTTGCCAGCTTCCTCACGTTCGTTCTTATTTTGGTTTGGCTGGGGCATATCCTTAAGTAGCTTTCTTAAATTTCTATTTTTAAAGAAAAGGTGTTTGGATAGTGCTGTTTTCTACTCTTGCCTGTCCGAACATATGTTCATCTTCATGGGGGTTTGTTTGTTTCCTCTCTGTAGCCTCAGGTTTCTGCTCCCCAGAACCCAGCACACACTTCTGACGGTCGAAGCACAGCCGGGTATTTATTGCGTGCGAGTCCCGCTGGTCTGATTCTCCCATCTTGGAGGCAACCTGCTTTGCTTCTGCTAGAACCATGCCGGGTTTTCTCCTTCCCTTCAGAGGCCACACGTCTCACTGGCGCCAGTGAGGAGCAGGATTGCTCCCTGCCCGGCTTGTCGAAACCCCGGCTATGAACTTATTCAGGCCTGGAAAAAATGCCTTTATTCTTCTGTGGTTTTTGCTTATTCTGCTCTTTCCTCCTCCTCCTCCTGCCCCATCTCCTCCTCCCTCTGCCAGCAGGGCACTTCCCTCCATAGTCAGGGGCACTTCCCTCCATCTCGACCCCTGACCTGCCCCTTGCTGCCACGTGGCTCTTGGCTTCCCTGTCTCCTGCCCATTGAGGCTGCTCACTGCCTCAGTGTCCTGGGAGCTCTCAAGGAGGCTTCTTGCTCTTGGATTTTTTTTGCTGTTCAGAGCAGGTTGGGCCCGTTCTTGTTTTATGGATTAGGCTTCTTGAGAATCTATTCCTAATTCTGAAGTTAAAGTGAAACTGGCAAAAATTTAGAAAACAAAACCAAATGACCCGCATGCCAGCCTTAGCAGGAATACGTGTCAGGGACTTACTCTGTGAATGGGGGGGGGGGCAGCAGAATTAGGACAACAGGCTCTGGGGAAAGAATGGGGCGGCTCGGTGTGTGTCCAAGGTATCGTGTTAGAAAACGTCACCTTGGTGGCGCAGCGGGTTAAAGCACAGCACTGAGAAGCTAAAGCCGCTTCCGCATGAGTTCGATCCCCACCTGTCCCGGAGGTGACCACATGGCGCGGCAGACCTCTCCTGACCCGCCCGCTGCTCTCCTCGGCAGTGTACTTCGTCGATCTGCCTGTTCTGCTCCCCACTCTGTCTCTGGTGAAGCCTCTCGCCACCCCTGAGCCTCTGACCTGTACCCCAGCTCTGTTTGAACAAATAAACAAAATCTTAAAAAAAAAAAATTAAAAAAAAAAAAGAAAACGTCAACTTGGGGTTGTGCTTCTCGTGGGCAGAAATCACTGACAGAAACCTGAGAGTTAGCGTGCAATTTCAGACAGCCGGCTCTCTAGTCCACAGTAAACAGGGGCACACACAAGTCTGTTTTCCCAGATAATGAAATAATCCTTCGACGGGTATGCTGAACAATGCTCTAGAACCCTCCCGCCCTTTTCCTTCCTTCCAAATTTAAGGATACTTTTTCTTAACTTGTGCTTCAGGGCCCTCATTTACTTTTCTGGCTCCACTCACTGCTCCCCTTGTTAGCAGGCAGACTGAGAGGTACCTCTGGGGCCCCAAACTTATATGCCAGCTGCTGCCTAAAGACAGAGCATACTCTTACTGTGAAGGAACGTGAATGGGCGTGTGTGATGGCGGGAGGAGACGAGGCAGGGTGTGCGTGGAGCAGGAGAGGGAAGTCTCCCGATGAAACGCCCAAATTACCCACCCCTTCTTGGGGCAATGTCCAGCCAAACAGGCTGCACCCCAGGCCAGGTTGCTAAGGCCTGGAAACTTGCCACAAGTCTAAGGCACCTTCTGGCTGGAGCCGTGGGGCAGAAGGGGCCAGGCAGGCCTGGAAGGAAAGGGACAAAATCCAAGTACAGATCCAGGTCACGGCTGCCACGCAGCACCCCACAGCTCCTCAGCCGCCTCTTCCAGGCGTCTTGACTTCATGCGTCTCCTCCCATGTCCCCAAGCCCCTGGTGCAAGTCCAAAGCTGAGAAGACTCCTCCAAGCCTTCTCTCCCCCAAGCTTCCGCTCCCCCGTCTTTTCTAGCCTCTCCTCCCCACTTGAACCCCCCTCCTGAGGTGGACAGGGGTCACGGAACCTCCCCTTTCCACGAAGACAACACTGTTATAGCCCCGCCCCCTCTGGGCCCTGCTGACTTGGAGAGGCGCCCGTCTTGCATAGTGTCTGCCCTGCCCACCCCCTTTATTTATTTATTTTAAAGATGTATTTATTTATGCACACAGAACTGGGGTGTAGGCCACAGGCACAGGGGGTGAGGATTCACCAGACACAGAGTGGGGAGCAGAACAGGCAGAGCTACTGAAATACTCTGCTGAGGAGAGCAGGGGGCAGTCAGGAGAGGTCTGCTGCGCCCTGTGGGTCACTCTCTGGCAGGGGATCGAACTCGACTTGAGGCAGCGTGGCTGGCTTCGTGCTGTGCTGTAACCCGTCGCGCCACCAGCGAGGGCCCCGCCTGCTCTATTAATAAGATGGTAAAGACCTAAGCCGAGCAGGCCAAGGCGCAGCCTGGCTTCGGCCTTGGGGCCAGGGCTGAGGTGTTTGTGTGGTATCTTCTGGGTCCTGGGGGTGGGGTCCACAAGCCAGCATGGGGAGTGGGGACTCGGAGGGCCCCAGGCTTCGTTTCATGCTCTACTGTCACCATGTCTGAAATGTTTGAACCCGCGTCTTCGGCCTTGGGGCCAGGGCTGAGGTGTTTGTGTGGTATCTTCTGGGTCCTGGGGGTGGGGTCCACAAGCCAGCATGGGGAGTGGGGACTCGGAGGGCCCCAGGCTTCGTTTCATGCTCTACTGTCACCATGTCTGAAATGTTTGAACCCGCGTCTTAGGCCCTGCATTGTGGGCCGGCCTGGTTCCGTGGACCCTTGGCCAGAGCTGCGTGTCTAGCTCCATGCAGGTGACCTACCTGGCCTGAAGGTCATTTTCTGTCTGAGTGCTACTGATGGCATGGTGCAGAGGCCGGAGGGGCTCCAGAGCCCAGCCCCCCAACCCTCCTGTTCCTGCCCAAGCTGCCTCCAGATCTGCCCATCCCCCGCAGTCCCACCCAGGCCTGGTGCTATAAATGTTCTGTTTCCCGAGTAACGGGCCTGACATCCCAGAGCCTGTTTTCTCCCTTCCTGCTCCTCCCCTTCCCCAAATTACTGGCTCCTCCTTCCAGCTCTGGAAGAGACACAACCTCATTGCTGGAAGGTTCCTTAGAGGTCAGAGCCTTCGTCTCCACATCCAGCATGTCCCTGTTTGCAAGCGGCTGCTGGGACTAACAGGTTGGCTCACAAGGCCGCCTGTCCCAGGTGGGGAGTGCCTACTGCACTAGAAACTTCTTTTGTCCCTGAAATTTGTCTTCCTATTGCTCCCACCCGACTGGACCATCCACTGCCTTGTTCACTCACAGGTCAGCCCAGCACTGTGTAAGCTGGGCTGGGCAGTGGGGAGGGAGGCCTTGGGGTGGGAGTTGGCCACCTGGAGCAGGGTGGGGGGAGGTCTCTCAGGTGGGAGGACGGCAGGCAGAGGGCCCATTAGGGGTCATGAAATACCCCACTATGTTCTTGTTGAACTCGAGACATCCTTTGTCCACCTCAAACCCTGACCCAGACACTGCCAACCGTGGGGAGAGCCTGGGCACCTCTGTAAAAAGCTCTCCCAAGAATTTGATACCAGCTTGATGCCAGGTCTCTGAGGTGAACCAGGGTCGAGGGCCCGGCTGTCAGGCTCTCTCCAGAATGAGGCTGAGTGGGAGCCTGACCCAGAGTGTGGCCAGTGTGTGACCAGGAGGCCGCGTGGCTGTGGTGGCAGCCAGGTGTCAGCCTGGTGTGGAAGCGCTGAGGAACATGTGTTAGCAGATCTGGAGTGGGCAACCTCCCTGCCCCTTCAACATGCGCATGGCCTGGTGCTCCTCCGTGCTCCTCAGA